TTTTTTTTAACGTGTGGTGTGCATCCCTGAAGAATGTCAATAAAAGAAGTTATTTGCATTTAATTAACCATGAATACACATGAGCCAAAGAAGAACAAAGAAGAGTTACATTAGGTCTGGCATGCAGCCCCTGATGGGCCGGTGGCTGCATGATGCTCGGAGAAATTGAAGCTTGCATAATAATCACACGTAGAGCTCCATGTTCACAGAGATGAATATAACCTCTCACTTCGAAATCAGTTTTGCTGCATTTGGAATTTACAGCTCTTTGCAAGCTTCAGTTAGATCGACCACACTCGGTGCTTACACAAGATACTGTTGTTGTTACATAAGAAACATAAAGACTTTGCAAGGCCAGCTGCTTTAAGGTGTTGATATGCAATCGTCTCCAATCCGTACGTGGGTGGTGTGCATAGCAGCCCCTGTGCGGGAGCTGATTGAATCTGCACTGTTGGCACAGATGGGACTTCCTGGACAGGCAGAACTGCCTACCTGATTGGCTGTCACTCAGCATCAGTCACTCTGAGCCCGAGTGTCAGTCATACACAACACACACTCGCACATACAAAGAAATGAATGGGGCTTTGGAGGAGCCAAATTATTTGCAAGTAAATTGCAAAACTTTCATTCAGTGAGAATTACCCCTGAGAATGGATTGGGAGCAGTTGCCTGAGCCCACAACTGTTCTGCAGCAGCAGTTTACTTGTTGAAATGTGAGAGGCTCATTAGGCCTAGGGTTCCCTGATGAGACAGTTTAATTACATGCCATTGGGACTTGTGCGAGTGGTAAAGCTGCCATTACAACTTTTATTAGAACTGTGAACCAGCAAAATGCAGAATAAGTTCTTTATAATTTCATTGTTTCCACAGGCTTGAAATAATCTGTATACAGTCGGTGCATTTTATTTTGTGAAATCAATATATTAGTGGTATGAACCATGTATCTGAAGCAAGGTGAGCAGCTTCAATTCTGCACTACAGATTAGAGAGTGAGTGTCACGTCAGCTGAAGATTTGCGCTCTTGTGTGTACTCTGCATTGTGTGCACATACGTGGCCTTCTAATGGAGTCGATGGCTATTGACAGAAACACCTGACAAGTGTTTGGAAACTGATCTCAGGCGCAACAGGCACTCTGACAGGAACAAGAGGCCACCCAGAGTGCACTGTGCTGCTGTCATTTGCAATAGATTTCCCTCTTACCCTGACCTCTGACATCCTTCAGTGCGACCTCATTCAGTTGAACCACGTGCCACTCCTCTAAGCCAAGAGTCCAGCTGTTTCTCCCTGCAGATCAGTTCCTGGAGAACATCATTCCCATTTCTCTACCACTGTGGAGCCTTTTGTTTTCCCGGTGGCCCAGCGGTCTGTTTAGCATGCAGATGTGATTAGCTAATGTCACTGTACTGCAGGGCTGATTCAGACCGTTCCTCTCTGCTGGAGTCGCTTAGACGTTGCAATCCCGGGAAAATCAAATTATAGAGCCATTAATTTGTCCACGTAATCCAGCCTGTCAGCTGCTCTGGAGAAGTAATCTCCCAGGACTGCGTTCATCAAGTGTGTGATGCCAGCAGAAGTGAAGCATTATCTAATTAACAGGAGAAGACCCAGTGGCTAGGAATTGCATCTGGCCTGAATTACCTGCCTTCAGTAAAACTGTGACACAAAGACGATTTTGGGTCTATATGATTCTGAAATATCATCTTGGCTAATTGCCTGTCAAAGAAACCACCAATTCCCAGGTCCTGGGGTTTAAAAGGGATCAAATTCTGCTTACTTAGTACATGGTCAATGTTTCTTTTAAAGGACTTGCATCAGCAATGTCATCTGGTAGTGTGACGCTGGTAGTGGGACAGTATCTGTAAGAATTCAGAGTATATTGAACAAGTGTAACTTCCACATCAGCAAACCCTCTCAAGGGCACAAGGAGCAGTTACATGCATTTTGTTGTTCTGCTCATTAACAGACCAGAGGCTGACTTTGTTTGACCGAAGTCGTTTCAATAGTTCATGCTTCAAAAGATCAACAAGGTGCTAAAAATGTCCATGATCATGAGCAGCTGGAAGAAGTCAGTGTTTCTGTCCTTTTGAATAAAGTGATATATTGGCAGTGGTGCAATATAAACAATTAGTTGCAACAATATTAGAGCCTATTTTGGGCTTTGCTATCATTTCTATTGGTTGCGATAGCGTGACCTGTCCACTATTAATTTTTTTATAACCTTAACCAGGGATTTTGCTGTGGTGCCCGTGGAATCAACTGCAATCACTACCGTCCACATACAAGCTATAAATATATACTTTAACTAGTATACTAGCACAAAACAAGGATAGCGCCTGTTAACTTAATGAGAAAGTAACACGAGCAAGCAGCTGGTGACTGTATTAATCAATAACTAATAAAACAGTATGTTATCTTACATTTGTCCTTGAAACAGACCTGAGGATGTCGGCCTCTTTGGGTCTGATGAAGCCAATGCAATGCCCTCCCAACATTTTTTACAGCATGTAATAATGTATAGTACTGGCATGATGAAACTCACTCTGTAGTAGGCACTAGTCTGTGCTCAGTTCAGTTTGACATTTATTTTGATGTAAAATCTAGTGAAATCTAGACGACATTTACCACTGGTGCTTTTTCCAAAATACACAATTGATATACAGCAATTGTGTGGGATTGTTGTGAGACTAAAAACATAGTCTACTGTAATGTAAAGAATGTAACTGATATTGGACCCAATTTTTTACACTAAAATTTGACATTCATTAAATAACAGTTTTAAAAAATCCTGAAAATCAAGAATAATGAAAAGGATTTTTTTCCCCCTGCCAATCTACTGCTCCACATTCCAGTCCAGTAGGTGGCGGTAATGCACCTATAAACTTATTTGTAAACCACCATTAAAACTCAAAGACAAGGAAGAAGAATATGAATTAGTCTGGAGTATATCTGGAGTATATTCATGCTTATTTATTTTTTTGTCTACGGTGATGTCATTAGTGTTATCATTAAAATAAAAAGGGTGCACTTTTGTTAAAAGCCAAATTACAAAGAGATAACACTCAACCCCTCAGCTGGGTCGATACTTGATGCATCACACTTAGGTTAATGGTTTCGCTACAGTACCTTGCTGCCATCTTATATATATTCATAGATTCTACATCACTATTTTTTGATCCTCATGCACCTGCAGCCATAAGGTTAGTGTCATTACAGGATGATCAGAAATTTGATTTGGCCGCCTGGTCATTTAGCTTGATCTGCATTCGGCACACATGCATCATGCGACCACATCTTGATTAGATCCAACGTCCTAATGATGCCACAGCACTGTCCTTCTGTCCTTTAACTGTACAGGTTGATCAATTATTAACGTCTCTGAGTCTGCCGAGAGTGGAGGAAGTCCACGTGACTTGATAGCACAAAGTGGAAAGCCATTAATTCGCTAATGATGCTGCAGGTTGCTTTGACAGCATGGTCTTTGTTTTTTATTGTAGCATGTGAAGGGGATTATTTGCAAAGGTTTGATTCCATCAAAAAAGGCCAAGGACGGATGACAACTACAATCTAATTTGAAGCAGAAATACAAATGGAGCTCCATGCTTTGGTCCCCAGGAAGCGGCCAGTGATGTGATCTTGTGGAGAGAAGTCAAGAAGGGGATAATTAAGAGTACAGCAGCCTATCTAGTGTATGTACGCCTCTCTCATTAGCAGACATGAATGGAATTGAATATTGCTCCAAAAAATATGATTATAAAATATTAATTTTCTACTTGGTTAGATTTGAAACTGATGAGAAACTTGAAGCATAATTAGGCATTGATAATGTCAGCCTTTATAGCAGGATAGCGGTGAGGAGGAGAGAAGCAGAGAAGGATGAGGAGCTTTTCTCATCCTGATAGTTTTCATTTTGCTGGGTTTTTAAAGAGAGTAATGTCAACAAATCACTCAGTCTCAATGAGACGTTTGTTCTCTCGCTGCTCTCATTTGTTTTTGTTTTTTTGCCACGTCAAAGCTTTTTGCCAAACATCATCCCACTTTAAAAAAAAGCTCTCTTCCTCACTTCCTTCTTTACCATCCACACTCAGCCCTCTGGGGTATTACTCTGTAATCACATTAACAGATAATTTTTTGATGGCTGTTCTGCAACATGCTGGGTTTAACTCCAAAAAGATCTTTTCTGCCTCAGCCGTGTGCTGAGAGTTTTGAAAGCAGACTATTTGCTAAAATAGACGAGGACACAAATAGAATGTGCTTTTGTAATTGTTGAATGTGTTCATCGGCAGGGTTTGTTTTGCAGACGAATGTGTCTGCACATGTAGGGGGTGAATAAATGATAACGAGACATCATTATCACCAATCCGCTTCGTTTTTGTGTGAAATGTTGCCTCAGTCCTGTGAGAGAGAATTCCTCTGTTTGTTAATGCTCAGAGGAGAGCTGGTGGAGGCGACTGTTGAATAAAAACAGCTCCTTGCAAACTGAGGACATAACCCAAACCTTTGCAAATGTCATCCGCCTCGTGACTAAGTTTACTGCTGCTATTTGTGTCACAACAAACAACCCCTGGAGTGGATGATTGACAAGTTGTGAGTGATAATTTGTCACATTCTGTCATTATTCCTTTATGCCGACTCACTGTTTATTCTGAAGTGCGCAGCAGTACTGTCAAGTGGAACGTGATGACACCTGACAGCGACACACAAGAGAGGGCAGCATCTTTTTATACGAATGAAAAAGAAACTTTCAACTTTCAACTTGACTATCTTTCATTTTTTTCTCCATGGGTTGACGTGTCTTCGATTCAACCATCAACTCCTGTCTTTTTCCATTTTAGATGTGTTTATCACCACCGGGGAGTATATTGTTTTTAAAGGCTGCTGCCACGTGTGCTTTTTGCCTAACAGCAACACTTGAGCTGAAGATGATGTGCGGGACGTGATGCGTGTGTGAAAACCCTGCCGAACTGGACAAACAACAGATCGCAGGAGTGCCTCGCATCGACCACAGCCGCCATCCCGGCAGTCAGCTCTGTGCGGAGCTGTTTAGCAACTCGCGCCATTGATCACTTAAAGTGAGAACCCGCCACAATCGGCATCCTATCACACAAGGGGGAAGCAGGGGAGTGCAAGAGGTGCAATTAGCTGCTCCCAGGAGCACCGAGGGAGTGACAGACAATCAGCATTGAGAGGGAGGAGGAGGGGGGGCTCTACCACAGAACAGGGGAGGAAATAAAAAAGGTGCATGTATATATATTTACAAACATACATACAACTATACAGGTAAATAAAACATGTACATGTAAATAATGTTATGCAGGAGATGGAGGAATGGAAAGGGAAATGATGGTCATTACCCAAATGGGTCGTCATGCCCCATCTATCCATCCCATGCTGACATACCCCCTCGCCCACGCCAGAGGAGTTTTAATTGGCCCAGTACACAGTGTTTGCTCAAGCACTCGACAAGTTTGGAGAAGCGCTCTGTAGGGGAATGCGGTAAGCTCAGTCATGCTGGAAATATATAAGATGGAAAAGAGTGGGTTGAGGAATTAGGTCTGTGTGTATGAGAGTGAGTGTGTGTGTACATATATTTCTGCGTTATATTCCAACACACCTAAAACTCATATCAACACGAAATTTTATTTCCAGCCACATGGATAATGAGCAGCTTGAGTTTTTGTGATATCCTGTGAGGGGCACATAAAGAAGAATCAGCAATCTTCAGGACTCATTATATTGCTGCTGTCACTGCATTAAAAGTAGTGGTCACTAAACTGCCTGCTCAGATGAAGCCTCGCTTCTTATAGAGCTCCATATGTTTCTTTTTTTTTATAAGAGCTGATGTCCTAAGAAATAGGTTTTCACCTGACTGGAAACTGAATGCAAACTGTCCTGTGTAGGGCTTCTATACTGATAACTTCACTGCGCGCTGTGCTCATCATAAATCCCTGCTCAAATCCATATGCCTTGCACTACACGAAGCAATGTTAATTTAGATCCCTTTGCGAGAGCGGAGTTGACTTAAAAAGTTGAACAGACTCTCGCCCCCGGCAGAAGGTAGAGCTGGGGCTCCCCGGTAGAGATACCATGAAGGAAAGATTTTCTTTTTCAATCAAGTGAATACGGTGAATCTCCATGGGATTATCCCATCTGGCAAAGATTGATAGTCCTTGGCCACAGGACAAATCATTGCTTGTTAGAGTGACACGATTATAGCCACACGTTGTGTATTATACCATTTTCAATTGTCTGTTTTTTGCGCCAGTGGAAGTAGAAACTTGCACAGTAGAGTATAGATCCTTTTTATTTTAAAACAGTCTCTTTTAAAACGTGCACCATCACATATGGAACCTGCCCATATTCTGCACATTGTGAAGTTATAGACTCTGAAACATGTGAAATAGAAGGATGAGATGCACGGCACAGTACAATACACACAGTACAGTTGTTGCCATTGTTCTGGTGTGCATAGGTGTCACTGCCACATTGTCAAACTTGACCTTTATTAGATTGAAGCAAATGAAAGCAAAAAAAAAAACTTTCTCAAAGGCAATATGGTTTCTACTTCATTGATTTTGTCCTTTTGCGTTTTTTTGAAAACATCTTCAATGTGACTTTGGGCAGCTAGTTTTTCTGTCTATTGAATATATTAAAACCAGAGGTTTGAGATCAGAGTCAAAGAACTTGAAACTGATTCAATATTTTAGTATTTTTCAGATATTCAAAGATTTTATTTTAACATGACATAAATAGAGCATATGTAAGAAAACTGGACTTTCATTAAAAAGAGAAATCTGCATTTCTTTAAAGCAAAAGTGTTTATTTACATGTCTTTGGTATTCTAAATGAAAATAAATTAGATTGTTCTCATGATGCGTCACATATTCAAAAGACTACAAACTTAACTGCTAGATAAGAACTGTTTCTTAACTGATCAAGACCTCAGATTTGGCCTTAATAGTTTAAGTCTATAAATTAATTGGCACCATGCTGGTAGCTAAGTCTCAGTATCCTAACTCACTGGCAAATAAGGTCTTGATCAGCTTTGAGTTCAGCAGAGAGTTTAGAAATCAAAAGTAGAGGCGGGTCATTGCACACAGTTCTAAAGACGTCTTGCCCTTATGCTCGGCTTGTTGAATAAAATGGCTCTGAATAAGCATTTATTTATAGCTAACTATCGGTGTAGATGTTTTGTTTGTAAAGATCTTAAATGTTACAAAGCACAGCACAGTTGGGACATTTAGGAGACAGATAGCCTTGTCCTTAAAGTGGCCTCAGTAATTCTTTAACTATATATCTTTATACATATCAATACCATATTCATACTTCTTGTAGAGTAATGAGATGTAGCTGCTCTGAGGAATCCTTCAGAGCAGGTATTATGGCTGCACCAATAATTTTTCAATAAAAATTCTTAATGCTCCCTCTTCCTCCCACACACACCCATATGAAAATGAACATTTTCTGATAGCCTTGTCCGATCGAGTTATGTCAAACAAAAACACCCGCTCGCTCACACATGCACAGGTCCATAATTAATGTGCTCAACTTATCCAGTTGGAGCAGAGGATTGGGCTGGTGAATTAATCATGGATGGCTGTCTGTGAGCTCTTCGAGAGAGAGAGAGAGTGAGGGTGAGCGAGCATGGATGTGCTCTTATGAGTGATGATGAAGGTTAGGGCAGACAGGACGGAAGCCACTGACGTGCCGCACGTTGCAGGCTGAGTGCAGCATCATGTACAACCACATGACACAGTTCAGTTCATGACTTGTAGTAGCTGACCTCATAAATACAGCAATGACTCATGGCAGGAAAACTACTTGACATGAATACAATATTCATCGCTTAAACAAGTCTGCTGTGTAATGAGTAATGTCCGTTTGATACCACAGAGTAAACAAAATATCTCTTTGTGCATCACATAGCCAATCATGGAGAATTTAGATTAACTGATTTGGTGTATCTTCAGTTAAAATTATTTTAAGATGGATGGTTCGAGATGAAATGGATTTTTTTTTGAAAAGGTTTACATCTCTAATGTTCAGAAAACAAATCACTCTGCTCAAACTGTCCAGTGCTGCTGCTCCTCTTTTCAGCCTATGTCTGAAACACTTGGTTTCAGCACCTGTCTCTTTAAGCCCCCCTCCTGTTGAGCTGGCCCACTGTGTTGTTATTGGTCGACAGCTTACAGTGCTTGAAATGCCAGCTTCTGCTCTTGCTTTACCTGGCTTTGTTAGCGGACGTCCCACACTAGAGGCTAGCCATGCATTATGCAAATGTGGGAAATCTTGATGTCATTCCCCCAGAAGTGGCATTTCAGGATATGAGCTCCGTTCAAAAAACAATATAACACACTTGAAGAAAGAAAAACTGAAAAAAAAGCATAAAAAATCATCTTTAATGTTAAAACTTTTGAAATGCTGGGTAAAATACTTCACATTCGAACATTTTGTATCCTCTGAATTTGTTCTTCGAGGAAAGAAATATTTTATCTTCCAAGTGTCTTTGCAAGGACGTTCAATATTGAGTGTTGGATTCCCCACCTACCGCTCAGCTTTTGCTGTTTTTTTGGTATGATTAAAACAAACTCAAAGGCTGTGCACATCAGTCACCCATGGGTAACTTTTTCTTTTCAGTCTGCAGGGACACTACTGCGGAAAGAACCTGCATTCAAGGTGCAGCAGAAATTCAGAATAAAAAGTGTTTCTCATTCCAAGCTTCCTGTGTCAAATGAAACATTTAGGAGATTGTGGTGGATTTGTTTTTCTGAGGCAGGGGTTGGAAAGCAAAGCTGATCAGAGTACATAGATGTCCTCCTAGTTCCGAGTGCTGAGGAACTTAAGACAATGACCACAGCATGGCTTACAGCCAAGACAACATGGTTGAGGGACAACAAAAATCTTGAGTGACCAAACCATATCCAATCACGTCTCTGGAGAGACCTGTGGCTGTCCACTGATGGTCCCCATCTAACCTTACAGAGCTTTAGAAGATTTGTAGACAAGAAAGACAGAAAATCCCTAAAGACAGGTGTAAAAAACTTGTCCTGTCATACCCAAGAAAACTTGATCTAATAATCGCTACCAAAAGGTGCTTCAGCCAACCTGAATAAAGGGTCTGGATATGCTTTTGTGTAGGGGTAAGATGAGCAGCGGAGGCAAACAAAATGTAAGATGGTTTGTGAGAATTACCTGGAAATATATGGATGTAGCCCCACTGCTAAATGTCTTGACTGTAGAAAAACTCAACATCCTATCAGCCTCCACAGCACGAGAGCCGTGGAACGAATGGAATCCATAGAATCCATGCTCTTATGAATTATATAGCACTCCTTACACATAAGTCCCTCTGATTCTTCTAGCTCATCCATCCTATCCTTCAGCAAACATGCATAGCCAATTATAGAATGGAGATACAGCTTTTTATCTCTTCTTCATCAGTCCTCTTTACCCAAATCATTTTTTCGTTCCTCCTCTGCATCCTTTGTGTCCTCTTCTAGACCTCTACGGGGATGTCCATTGTTGTGGTCGCTATACCTGACGGCTTCAGTGAGATCAGCTGGTCCCTGGTGTAAACCACACAATCAGAGAGTTGCTTCACAACAGTAACATAGTCAAATGAGACCCTAGATAAATGTCATGTAAAGAATTGTTTTCAATGGGTGAGTTAAAGCATTTTTGATTGAGTTCCGCTTGGACCCAGTGGATTAGAGAAAAGGGCAAAACTTAAGTAATTGGAAAGAAATTGAACAAGCATGTTGACAGGAACTAGGGAAATAATGTACTCGAAAAAACAGAATTATCCTTTAAATTTGAAGCTATTCATCTTGAGGCCCCTGATTCAAACCTGTGTCTACAAGCATCCTGGTCAGTCATCTGCAGTGTGGAAACTCATCTATCAGCCACTGTACACTACATTTCCTTGACAATGCATCCTTGTCTGGCAATATATTCTCATTGTTTAAGTGTAACTAAAATGGTCTATCCAGGTTTCTAAGTTGGAGCAAGGAAAGCCATCAATTTTGCTAATGTACCTCACAAGGGCAGGACGACATTGTTCTAAGAGCAACTATGAAGTTAAATTACGTGAGTAGCAACTCACCTCCTGGGCACTTTCAGCTTCAAGGTCTGTTATGAACCATTGTGATGAGGTGACCCTGTGTGGGATAATGAATGTTTTGTGGTAGCAATGTTAAGAGTAAAGAAAAATCAAAGCTGAACAGATATGACTTTTACTAAGAGGCTCGAACACCATCTAATAACGGTTCAGATGTACCGCAGAGGACTCATGTGCTAGGTCAAAGCCTCATGTTTCATGGTCCAGCTATTTCCCTGTCCCTTCCTTTCCATCCCTCTGCACACCTCTTCTATCCCTCTCTCACTCTCTCTGCCTGTCTCTTCCAAAATCTGTTCTGCTCCAGTGGACACCCTTCTTTAATCCTATCTGATGAGGACCCCCCCCACACACACACTACCGCATAGAGAAATGTATGCTAATGTAACCCAACTGCAAAAATGGAAATTAGACTCGCACTCTTGCAACAGTCAGAGACAATGCAGCTGTGAAAGACGCAGCATTGTTCCACAACAAAACCCAAACAGGAAGATAACAACTTGTCAGATTTGATCAGTTATGAATTATGCATCAGTGGCCACTGAGTACAAGCGTTGTGCTTTTTGATGTGTCCCCTTTATCTCTTCATCTGTTTTAGCAATCACACACTGCTGTCGGGAATTCTCTTTATGTACATTTATATATGCATGTGTGCATAAGCACTGACTAGTAACTCTAGTGTGTATAGATCTGTGTGTGTGTGTGTGTGTGTGTGTGTGTGTGTGTGTGTGTGTGTGAGAAGTTATGTATGGATAAGATAAAGAGACAACTTATTTTTATGCTTGTGATCTTCAGAATAAAACAGCATATTGTAAATTTAGATCCAAGCTGAGTGACAGCAGCTCCTCCAGGGAAACCTTAGATGTAAGCACAAAGAAATGCTTATCGTAGATGCCTCTCCATACAGGCGAGTGGTTTGAGAAAGAGCTGCTAACAGGATTATGTCTTGCGTGTTCACCTTTACCCAGCAGAGGGTCAAGATCGATATGTGACTAATGTGATGAGGGAGGGTTATCACCCCTCGTCTTCTGCTTTCAATGAAGCTCCATTCACCGTGTGACTGTGAAGCTCCAGCGGAAGCTATGCAATTTTTTCTCCACTCCAAGCCCTACAGTTACAGATGGGATGTGACTGATATCATCCGACGTATCACAATTTGCAAATTTGAATCCATACTGTTTTGGGCAGATAGGAGCCTCAGCCACATTGCTGACGGATCGAGGTTCTTGTCGGTTACAATTCAGCGTGTGATTCTTGCTCATTTTCACTTACCTACAGTCCAGGACTGTAGGTGGCATGAGCTGAGCATTTCTCATTAAAATAGAAGAGAATCGCTCTGCTGTTTCTATTGTGCCCTGTAATTCCTCAGTGATGTATTCCTCCCCCATCCTGCTAATGTAATGGCGTATCAAATTCCGAACCCCCTTTGCTCCTCCGTTTCCTCCTTGACTGCGAAAGAGTCTGATTTCCAGCAAGTTAATGAAATTGTCACAGCACCTTATGAAATCGCCACCGTGTAAGCAATAACATCTGGCAGATAGATGGCGCATGTAATGTCCGCTGAGCCTCACTACACACAAGCCTGTTAATGAGCAGAGAGACAGGCTGACAGACAGGGATGTAGGCAGACAGAAGCAGACTGACAACACAGTATATTTTAGAGAGGGATGGGAGGATGACTGTGTCAATGTGTGAACAATAAAAAATGGGGAAAAAAATGATGAAAAGATCTTTTGAATTTTCACATATTGTGAGATTAATTGAAATTCGACAAAAGCTAGTGTTAGTTCTCGAACAAAATATCACAAATTTAATGAAAAAATTATCTTGTGCCATCAATTTGTGTATTTATCTGTGTCTGATGAAAGATGAAAGGGAGAGACACAGCAGAGCTGCTAGAGTTGGTCCACTGCATGAAGTTACTTCATGGAGCAGAAATTTTGAGTTTTCATCTAAAACAGTCGTCAGGTTGAGAATTTAATCTGTCAAATACTTCGTGTGTGTGTGTGTGTTGTTTTGAGTTATTAATCGATGAGGACTGATCATGAATCCGGATCGCCCTGGTCACTTTAACCCTGATGTCCTGACTCTTCCCCTTTTTCATGATGTGTGTAGCTGTTGAATTACGTGCACACTGTGTCCTCATGTTTAAATACGTACCTTATAAACTCTAAAGCAAATCAACAAACAAAATAAACATCAGCACTGTTCAGGTCCTAATAACGTCTGATTAGTGTCTGTGTTTATTGTTAAAGTGCAAAGTGAGTGCATGTCAGCAGGGGAATGGAGGGAGGACACTCAGAAAGGAAACTCTGACTCGGTAAAAGAGAGCTGGATATTTAATGTGTGTCTGTCCTGATACCGAAGCAGTTGTGGTTATAATTATGCAGTGGCGAGACATCGCTGAAAAATGAAAGCAGCGGAAAACATGAATCGATTATGTTCTGTCTCTGCATCGATGCAGAGTCGTCCACGTCCGAATCGCGATGCATCGAAAAAAAAGATCCCCACCTATAATTACTTGCTGTGATAATGAAATATTCTAGATAGGAAGACTTGTTACCATAGGATGCCGATGATAAACCTTCCTTTAGCATTAGTTATACGAATCTGGATGGTGCAACACAACTAGTTTGCTAGCTTCCTCAGTGTTATGCTCTCCCATCTATATGACCTCTGACTAATGAATGTTGAGGGAACAGTTTCCCAAAGCAGAAATCTTTAAAATCTATTTAGCCTAAAAAAGTGTACTGTGACTCTACTGTAATCGCAGCAATTCACGTCATAATTCCCCCTCAATATAAATTCTGACCTGATTAACCATTTTGTCTTAAAAGTGAAGGTGTGGTACAGTGGAGGGTTCTGGGATAGGAAATATAATGTAATCTCTAAAGATTCTTGTATGCACTGTGCATTGATATAAATCTGCTGTGTGTTTCCTGTTCAAGCATCCTGCTGAGCAGTGCCCCGGCTCCTCTGCAGCCCTGACAGGCCTCTAACAGTCCCATGCTGGCTAACCTCCCAACCTGTCCTTCCAATGAGATGCCAGCTGGCCCACCGCCGCCACAGCTCCACCACAACCATCATCATCCAGGGGAGGCTGGTTGAGTGAAGACGGTGCATAGAGGGGGAGAGAAAAGGTTGGAGCTGCCAGTTTGCACCATCCTCACATGCTCACTGAGATGTTAAATCTGTCGTCGGCCTCTCTGTCGCTTGTCGCTGGCCTCTCTGTCGCTTGTCGCTGGCTCTCCGATTTGTATGCAGGCGGTGAGTTTAATTCATTGCACACCCCCTCCTTTACCCATTCGCTCATCTAGGGGCGCACTCACATCCCTGAGCGTCTCTAGCCCCACACTGCTCAGAGAATCATTTATGTTAACAACTGAACAATCAGCGAAACCTTGAAGCACCCAGCTATTGATGCGGCCAGCCTCCAATACTGAGAGTAATGCTACTTCTGCTCTTTAATGAAGCTCAGCCCGAGCAGCCTTTAATCAGCCAGAGAGGAAGAGAGGGGGAAATGATGTGATTATTTATTAATAAGCAGCACTCCTTGTGTTTTCACATGTTCTTTTGGCACCTGCATGTCCCATTAGAAGTGTTTGGTCAGCAGTGCTGAGGGCAGCACATTGAACCCTCCGTCACTCCATAATGAGGCCCCTCGCCGAATCCACAGTTCTGCTTGGCTGTGCTCTCCAGAGATAAACTCATCATGTTGACACACATACCCAGGACACCCAACACCCCTGACCCCACTGACACAGATGTGCCAGAGAACGAGCTCGTGCTAGAGAATACGCTCACAAACAATCTCATGTATCTGCTCAGGCACGAGCACAGTATGTTTATATGAAGAAATATGGAAGTGATTACACGTTACCCACATGCTTCATAATACCATGTTGCACTGCTATTCATTTCTATTTAAAGCCTCTGTTTAGCTATTTCTGTCTCGTTTTTAAGAGGTGTAGCACCGTGTGATTAGCAATACTCTGGTCAAAAGGTATCAAACAATCAAAGTAATCAGTTATTGAATTGTCACAGCAGGTTATAGAACAGGCTGCCAAATATGCTCACACCTTTATTGCATTTATGTCCCCTGCACTCTGCAGCCAACCGTGTCTGTTCTCGTTTCACATGTATTTACAGCATATAAGTCCGCAGCATTGGATGACTGCCCAGCAATTAAATGACAGCTTGAAAATGTGATGAATGGTGATAGGAACTAACTGTTTGTTTATGGAGAAAAGACGGGTGATTGTAGTCTTCTATCCTCCCCGATCCGCCCACAAGTTCAGTTAATGTACTTCCAACATCCATGTGGCGTGTGGCGCAGACACAAGATGTGCAAAACAATGATAGCTTTATCTTCGGATGCAATTTGCATGAGCATCTGAGAATTAAAAAAAAAATCTAATTTCATAATGAGCTCCACAGGAGGATTTATGAAATTCGGGAGCTTGGAAATTCTACGGGGAAGTGAGAATTTACCTACCGCTAACACCTACGTCTATGAACCTGAATTATCATGGAAATTATATCTCAGTTGCTTTTACCCAGTAATGAGAAATAGACACGGAATACCAGGAATACACACCGACTGAGCAGAGTTTGTTTCTGCATTAAATATGACTTCCTTTTTTACCGGCTATGTGCTAAGAGCAGATCACATCCCAGGCGCTGCTTTGGGTGAAGATTGAGATTTTTCAGACGAGGTCTAAGAGATGATGCTGTTTGATGAGATTTCGACAACCTCCCTAAACTTGTTCTCTGTTACTGAGGAGCTTGCAACATCATGAATATTTTAAATGTTGGCAGAGCACGTCAAAGTCAGCTCATATCACTCCCCCAAAAGCACACTTAACTGAAGGTTGAGTAAAATAGAACTTGAATCACCAACAGCAGACACTCAGATAAAAGCAGGAAAGAATATATACATGTCATTATTATTTATTATTAATATCTGGTACATGTGTTGATATCTGTGTGGTAATATATTATTATTCTTCCTTATTTGAACTTACTTAAACTGAAATTGATGAAACAAGGCTTTGACAGGCAGCATCACTATGCTGCTGAGCGTTGCAACATTTATGATGACAGCATGTGCAATGAACAAAGGTTTTCTCCAACCACTGACTTTACAGTCAAACTCCACAGACAGCAAAGCTTTTCATGTAGCTAAAAAACGAGAGACTGGTCAAATGCATATCCATCCGCTGCCATAAAGTCAGCAGTAGCTCAATTCTAAAATTTCATGACGCACTGCAAAGAGATCGTTCCCCAAGGCCCCGTCTTCCTGGATATGTTTTGGCTGCTGCTGTCACACCCTGCAGCAAAGTTTGATGTGAAGTCCAGATGGGCAAAATATGTTAGTGTGAATCCGTTCAGATTGATCCTCAAATCAGTCTTTTAGTTCAGATAGGTAGAAAAGGAATACAGCAGATTAAATGTTTTTAATATTCATTTGCTTTGCGTAATGACATTTTAAAGATACAAGCCACTGACTGTATATAAACATGGACGACATGATGGTTCCCTTCAATTGAAGCCAAAGCACCTTATAGCCCCCCTGGTAGCTGGCTCCAGTATAGGTTATAAACCTTTTACCTTGTCGTCCGTCTTTATAATCAGTCTACAGCTGTGTCTCAATTCAGGTGATGCATCCTTCAGAGGCTGCATTTGAATTGCATCGAAGCAGCGTGACTAGGCTGTCATGTTTGCAAGACTCCTTCAAATGCATTCGACAGATGAGTGCTTCCATCTCCGAGAAATGGCAAGATATTTCTCAGACCAACGTGTCCCACGATTCATTGCACTTCAGTGAGAAACCTTATTTTGAAAGAGGCGCCGGCAAGCTACGAGACGATGCTTGAGTATCACGCTTCATCTCAACCGAGTAGCTTACATGTATAAAAAAACAAGGAGTTAATATCGTACTTGAAATCATCAGGTGGTCAGAACAACCTCTCTTCAATAATTCGGAAACTAGTATTTCTGAGCTCTTAGCTACACAGCTAGATGAATCAGGAGGAAACAAATAAACCAGTCGGGACAATTCGGAAGAATAGCTAACTCATGTTTGTTTGTTCACCCTCAAAATAGAATAAAATGATAGATGTGATAATCAGTATCAGATCATCAATAACCTGCAGTCTTTGTTACGAGTATACATAAGGATATGTGTGTGGGCTTCTTCTGATTTTCTGTGCCTTTCTACAGTCCAGACAGAATCAGACCAAGTCAAGTGGAAACTCTAAATTGCCTGTAGGTGTTAATGTGGATGTCTATATGTGTTAGGACTGCGACTGAATGAATGGTGACCTGCTTGGGCTGAATGCCGTATTTAATCAAATCTCCAAATAAAATGGAAGTCAAATCACTTTACAACACAGCATTACATAATAAAACACAATAGAATAAAAATACAAGGAAAAAGATTCAATATAAAATAATTAAAAAGAGTAAAATTTAATTAGAAAAGGAAAATAAAATAAATAAAGTTTTTGCCTAAATAAGTTGATCTTTAGTCGATTCTTAAAAATGGAAATAGACCTTGCGTGGCTAGTAGAACTGGATGGGATATTCCACGGTTGTGGGTCATAGAAGCTAAAAGCAGTTTCCCCGTTTTGTTTCATTTTCTTGGCCAGCTGGGCAAGCATCAGAGGAGCTGAATCATTTCAGTAATGTGGTTGGATCCCCCACATTTTTTTTCTTGTTGGGAAATGATTCATATCAAATAACTACCACAGTCTATTAGATAAAGTACATTTCCAGGGAAGTGTTAATTATCTTTATAATAAAGGGAGAGAAGTTGTCATATACGTTCATGAACAAAATCTCACAAAGGACAATTTCTGGTAAAACATTTAAAAGCCCAAATGCCTGAAAGAATCGAGACAACTCTGTCTTAAAAAAAGCACGGCAGCAAACTCCTCACGCCTCCAAGCCAAAGACGATTAGAGTGAAATGGAACCTGATATAAAAAGTGTATCAATAGTTGACAACAGGACTCTAGAGTTTCCATTATTCCCCAACGATTGAAGAAAAATGCATCTGTCTCTCACATTTTATCATATGTGGCAAATAATCTCTGTGTTCCACTGTAGCTTGGTTTTTCCTCCAAGTTCTTTCTGCAAGACTTGAATGCACAAACATCGTAGTACACCCAAGTCGTCACTGTAACGTGGGAATTTAAAAATTTTTTTTCATCGGAGCAACTTTAACAAGTGTGTCAGCCAACACATGGTTGAAGGCATCTGCTATTTACGTCTACGGGATAACTGAAAATATTTTGATGTGAGGAGTTTGTAATCTGAGCAAATCGTAGCTCTGCTTCTAATTATGGTTTCAGAATGATTTCTCGTGGTGTTCAAAAAACGTTAAAAGATACTAATGTTTAGAGACATTAATGCCATACGCCACAAGATCAGTGATTGTGATTTCCCTGGAATCTACCAGATCAAGAGTGTTACCATGGTGATGCACACTGGGATAGACTGCTGCCCCCTGTGACCCTGAAACGCGACAGAAAATGAAATCAGCTTCTCAAAACTTCATATTTTCAAAATCGGTGCGGCTGCTTGGAGCCACAGTGAACGAGCCCCAGTAATAAACAGCAATGAGCGCTCTGAAAGAACGCATTTATTTTAAACCAGAAGACAATTTGAAGAGAAGCAGGTGAGCAGATGGCAGAGTCATTATTACCCTACATCTGAACCACAGTGCAAAATAGAAAAGCCAATGGTTACACAGTGGCTGTTTCAAGCTTTGTTTGACCACTCGATTGCTTTTTAAAGTGGGCACATCAGAAGGCAATGTTGGGTGAAAATAAGGGGCACAACATTGTTTATTGGCCACAGATGATAGAATCATAAACTTGACTGAGTTCAAGGTAAAAACTTTTTTCTTTCAGTGTCCTATGGAGGGACCGTGTTTATGTTTCATGCTAAAAAATGCACACAATCTTGCATATATTAAAAAATAAATACATACATGATGAATTTTTTATCACTTTGTGTCACAAAAATCAACTGGATGTTTTTTTCTGCTGCATGGAGCCAACGCAGAAAAAGTGATTAGAATTCAGCTTCCATGGAAGTGAATATCCAGCCATGTAAATCAAATCTGCTGGCTTATG